TGTTTTAAGGCCTAGTTATAAAAGTACATAAAGTGTCTTCGTTGCTGACAAAATCTTGGTGTGTCTTCTAGAGCAGCGGTCCCCAACCACCGGGCCGCGGACCGGTAACGGTCCGTCGGTCATTTGCTACCGGGCCGCACAGAAAAAAGTATATATATAATATATATATATATATATATATATATATATATATAATTTATCGACGATCAGAGTCTGAGTGATGTTTTATTTTAACAAAATATAAAAAATTGCGGTATTCTCTCCCAATTATATCAGTCGGTGCATCTGTGCATCTTGACACAGGTTAATTCAGTTCAAGACTCATCCTATCTATAACATTCTATCTTTGTGAGGCGGGATTTTCTGTCAGACTGGACATCAGGAGCACACTTCGTCTGTCATTGTCTCCGATTACGCTTAGATGGGACCGGCTTGTTGTTTTATTTTTATGCTGTTTGTATTTGATTTTATGCCAGTCGTTTCATTTTACTTGATCGTATTTACCCCCGGGCAGTCCGTGAAAATATTGTCTGACATATAGCGGTCCGTGGTGCTCTAGAGGACAGAACCCAGATCTGCCTCTTAGTCTGTTGTGTACAAAACTTTTCTCATATAAAAACTGAATTAAAACTGGAAGCCTTTTTATAACTTATTGAAATATCTCTTAAATTGACCATGAAGTTTTTTTTGCTCTAAGAAGTTATTATTTCAGTCTCGACTTATATGAAACAAAGTCAATGAGAGTTATCGACTGTAGGGAACCTACCTGTGTTTAAACATCCTGGACTATCCCTTTAAGTGAACTGTAGGGTGTGCTTGCAGGGATGTTGTTGGTGACAGCTTTACAGCTTTTCTAAACATGCCAGCTAAGATTTGGAAGGGCTTGTGCATAAAATAAATGTCAGCCCAGTCAGGCTGAGTGTTTTGCAGTGCAGAGGGAGGAGGGTCAACCTGACTGGTTTCCCTCCAGACCCTCTGGATATTTTCAGAGTGCAATTAGATCATCTTACATGCTGAAATAGGTTGTGCTGTTTTAAATATGTAGAGATACAGATGCAGAGCTGTGTTTATTTCCAGGCAGGATTTTATCTGACATCGATATTTTTTTCTTTGCTATTATCCTCTGAAGATATTTACTGAAATGTTTGTTTAATAGACATCTGGTGTTTCTCTAAAAAAGCAAGGAGGAACAGATTACACTGAAATCTGCTTCATCCCCATTTGCTGGCTGTTCTTTGCCTAATGTTGTGTTCTAATGAAAATAAGTGATTCACGATGATCTCCAGGCCCACGAATCCTCTAAAAGGACACAGTGTAAGACTCATAAAGCTGAGAAAATGACATGCTGTGAGCCAACAATGAGTGATTAACAGTTCCCCTGAGACAGCTTGTTGTGGGTCAAGTTGTGAACTATATGGAAACTGAAAACTTCCCAAGAAGCAGGAAATTGTTGAATTTGTATCGACAGTCAAAGATTGCTGACTCATTCTCAAGCTTGTGTTCACTTTAAAGGATTGCCTAAACAATCATAAACCCCGCCATGTTTTTGCTGCGTGTGCTCAATGAATCTCAGGGACAGTAAGGAACATTTTTTTTAGATTGCAGCAACCTAAAAGCTGCAGTGACAAGACTGAGGTCTCAGCAGTCAGAAAAAGCCAACTGACCTCAGCAGTGGGTAATAAATTCATCCCCACCAGCTGTTGCTCCATCTGCAGCAGGTTATACACTATATATATATATATATATCTATATATATATATAGATATATATATATATATATA